TTTTATATATTTTTATGTATTAATATTATAATAAAATAAGGGTAAAATGATATTTTGAATATTTATTTTTTAACGCATTCTTAACTCGTAAGTTTTCTTTTTTACTTATTTTAATAATTTTCTTTATAATTTTTCTTATATTATATTCATTTAATAATTTATTTATATTAATTTCTTATAGAATACAAAAAAGTTAATAAGTCAATAAAATTTTATTATAAATTTAATAATTTTTTATATAATACTTTTTAATATTTTGTATAATATATTTTTAAATTATTTTATTAACAAAAACCTTTTAAATAAAATAACCCTTTAATTAAACAGATCTTTAAAGTTTTTAACTTTTTTAAAAAAAATAAATTTATAAGAGATTTGATTCAAACCACCCAAAAAAATAAAGATACACTTTACGGATGACTTCAAATCACTGCACCGAAACCCAAATGCCTTTAAAGTTTTTAACTTAAAAATAAACATACTCTTATATTTAATTAACTAAAGGAAAAACAAAAAATCTTGGCTGCTATGGTAATGAATCACTCCCGCTATTATTATACTACTAAGATAGATTGATAATTATCGCACTTGGCCCATGTGGTCAAGCGACTAGAGTCACTAAAAAGTGCACATCCCTTCTTCCGGACAGGTTCCGAATCCACCCATGACAAAACTGTTCAAAACAGAAAAAAAAAAAAAAAGATAGATTGATAATTATCAATTATCACTAAAAAGCAGCCTGTCTACCATTTTGCCTGCCTGTGACGTGGCGTGGCGTGGCACGGCGTGGCATGACAATGCCACCCGTGGTGTGAACTGCTAGGGCATTTTTATTTTTCATTTAATTTCTGTATATTTTATGAAGGGAAAACGATTTTAGTCCTTGAATATTTATCTTTTTAATTAGATCCTTAAAAAATAGTTTTTTGACATCTATGAGTGAGAATGAATACATTATTCACACATAATCATAAACTGAAAGTAATTAATGGTAATTTATGTCAACTTAAATTAATCATTATTAAGAATCTAATTTAAAAATAAATTATTGTTTATGTTATCTAAATAAGAGTCATCTTTTAGAGAACTCCTGGGTAGAGCAATTGGTAGCTCCTTGCATAAAAGTACTCATAGGCTTTGAGTTCGAGGCCATCCCCCTTCCATTTCCTGGGTTGTGTTTTTCAACCCCTCGGTAACCTGGTCAAAAAAAAGAAAAAAAAAAAAAAGAGTCATCTTTTAACAAGCTCAAGGTAAATTAGGAGCTTTGAATTGAAGAGTTGACTTTACACATTTAAAGGAATGACGTCAAGTGTTAGTAAAAATTTGATTGATTTAGTATTTACTAATTTATAAATATTAATTTTGAATCAAAATTATAAATTTAAATTTTTATAATATTAAACAACTAAATTTTCATTATTAAAAAAAAAAAACTTCAACTAGGTCACAAGCTCTAATAGAATATTAGTACTCCAAATTTAAGAGTACATACAAGAAGGAAAAAGTGTTCCCCAACATAATTTTTAGAAACTTGGGAGAAAAAAAATAAAAAAACACATCACTTTTTAATAAATTTTTATTAAATAACTAAAATAATTTATTTTTAAAACAATAATGTGACTATGTTAGTTTTTTTGTTTAAACAACTGTGTAGGCCTTTTTATTAATTTTATTAATAAAATTGCATTAAAATTAAACGAAGAAGTGTATTCGACCCACTAATCTTAAAATTAGTATTAGATCTTAGGCATGCCTTTTTTTCCCCTCTTTTAAGTTAGGCAGTTATATATGTTACTAAAGATTATTTAATGGCACAAAGCCTACAAACACCAATTATATCTTTCATTAAATTGTGACAAATTTGATTAGTGGGTCCTCAAGGAAGTAAAAGTCATTGTTCAAGTGGTAGAGACTTGATGTTATAATGTCTGCACATGAATTCTTCTCCCACATAACATGTTTTAACTCACAAGTCCTGTCTTTTTAGCCATGTAGGCATTGCATTTGTTAATTAGCCATGACAAAGCATTAACCTCCACGGAGTTAGTCTACAATTTATGGGTAGCTACTAGCTAGCATGGAATCCATTTCTTCAGTAAGT